GAATTGTTTGTAATTGTTCCTATTTACGGAATTGTTTGTAATTGTTCTTATATATAGAATTGTTTGTATATGTTCGTATATATGGACTAGTTTTTCATTGTTCGTATATATGGAATTGTTTGTAATTATTCGTATTTACGTAATTTTTGTAATTGTTTGTATTTAGGGAATTATATAGGGAATTGTTTGTATTTTTTTCATTTACACGGAATTGTACGTAATTGTACTAACAATCGGAATTATGTCTAATTGTTCATATACATGTAATTGTCTCGTTCTTCACGGTATTTCAGAAATATTAGTTTATATGGAATGTTTGGTTTTCCACATTACATTAACCGTGCAACACCACAACCGTGCAACACCTCAACCATGTGCAACACCACAACCGTGCAACACCTCAACCATGTGCAACACCACAACCGTGCAACACCTCAACCATGTGCAACACCACAACCGTGCAACACCTCAACCATGTGCAACACCACAACCGTGCAACACCTCAACCATGTGCAACACCACAACCGTGCAACACCTCAACCATGTGCAACACCACAACCGTGCAACACCTCAACCATGTGCAACACCACAACCGTGCAACACCTCAACCATGTGCAACACCACAACCGTGCAACACCTCAACCATGTGCAACACCTCAACCGTGCAACACCTCAACCATGTGCAACACCACAACCGTGCAACACCTCAACCATGTGCAACACCACAACCGTGCAACACCTCAACCATGTGCAACACCACAACCGTGCAACACCTCAACCATGTGCAACACCTCAACCATGTGCAACACCACAACCGTGCAACACCTCAACCATGTGCAACACCACAACCGTGCAACACCTCAACCATGTGCAACACCACAACCGTGCAACACCTCAACCATGTGCAACACCACAACCGTGCAACACCTCAACCATGTGCAACACCACAACCGTGCAACACCTCAACCATGTGCAACACCTCAACCATGTGCAACACCACAACCGTGCAACACCTCAACCATGTGCAACACCCAACCCGTTCTCGCAAATTCGTAAAGTCAATATTGACTTATTAACTACGTGCATAGGTGATATACTAAACATAATAGATACCCTTAAAAAGATTCATAGAAAACACCGACCTTACCTAACCTTGTTAGTATCTTAAGATAAGCATCTTATTGCTTCGTAATTACAATTATTACTTAACCTATACCTATTATAGGTTAGGTAATAATTGTAATTACGAAGCAATAAGATGCGTATCTTAACATACTAAGTAGGTTAGGTAAGGTCGGTGTTTTCTATGAATCTTTTTAAGGGTATCTATTATGTTAAGTATGTCACCTATGCACATATTTAATAAGTCAATATTGACTTATTAAATTTGCGAGAACGGGTTGGCAACACCACAACCGTGCAATACAACGTAAAAACATTGTGTTGAAAATGTGTTGACTGTCTCTTTCTCTCTGCTATTGAAGGTGACCATTATAGTATGCTCCAGAGTGTTGCTTAAAGAAGTGACAAATAAACATCTCACGTGTTAATAACCACCTCATGTGTTTAACAACCATCTCATGTGTTTAACAAACAGGTTGTTACGTTACGTGATGGATTCCCACCCTCTCCTCCCATTCCTCTCATCCACCTGTACCAACACGTCTTACTTTTGCCGAAATGGAGCGATTGAGAGTTGATGTTTAACTGGGACATCAATCTTGACTTGGGACTTCAGTCTTAACTTGGGACATTAGTCTTGACATCCCGCCAAACATACACCGAAACTACGACGTTGGTACAACGTTCGAACAAGTTTTAACACCTCCTAACCAGTTATAACAACCAATATAGCAAGTTGTAACAACGTTCTAATACGTCATAAACACGTTAAGCCAAGATGTAACAACTTTATTATAAGTAGTAACAAGCGGAAAATAGAGACAGTTACGGTTTGTGTTTCCAGGGTTGGGACATCAGTCTTGACTTGGGACATTAGTCTTCACTTGGGACATCTGTCTTGACTTTTAAGATTAATCTTGACTTTGGACATCAATACTAAGGACATCAAAAAACATACAGTGGTATCACTGAAGTGTTATTTTGTGTTAGAAATATCCACTGGTACGGATAAAATCCATTTAGTGATACAAATATCCTCCAATGACCATAATAAGATGTAATTAACATGTGTAATAAAAATCCATAGAAAATATGTGCTAAAAATAATTATTTAGCAATAAATCAAACGTAATTACATAGCATATCATAAAAACAAATTCAGTAAGAGTTTTTTTGAACCAAAACGAGTTCCAATTACCATTATAATAATTGTAATTTAAACTGTTTAACATTTTTCAAATTCTTCAGTACTATTATTTAATAATGGTGTCCATATCTGGAAACGATTAATTAATATATATATATTTTTCCTATATCATATTTAATGTCGTGATTGCTGAGCTAAACATTAAGCTTAGCAGCATGACAGTGGAGTAAATGTCATTCTGAGTGTGTTATTACAGTGACTGAGGACTAGTATGACTGATATCGTATAGTATGATGCATATGCAAGTGTGAGGTAGAGATTAACAGATGCTGGAGACGTGTGAGGGAAGTGTAGAGCAGTGTGGCGGTTCAGTATGAGGGGGACTGGTGGAGGTGGGTGATGGAAGGGAAGTATGAGGTAGTCTAGTGGAGGTGTGTGACGGCTGGGATGTAAAAGGAGGATTGATGAGTGAAGCCTGACACTCATTAAGTCACTATGGCATAAGAGGATATCTCTGCGCCACTAAAAAAGAATTATTTGAATAAAACCTTCACATATAACATCTACAGGCTTCACGCACACAAAAGCATTGTTCAAAATACAAGTTCACATTAAACTGGGGTTTCACTGGTCCATTTCAGTTTTTACAACTGTTCATGCATGTCTATATATTCCCAAAGTTTTATTTTTTCACAATAAATATTTATTTTGGAATTTAGGTGATGTCAGGGGGTCGAAGATGCTGAATCGTAAACGAATCGCCAATGACCTGAATTTTTTGGAAATTTTGGAAGCTCTTCTCTGACGTTTTAAACACATTTTCGAACTCCTTCTTAGACGTTTTAAAAACGTTTTCAAACTCCTTTTTAGACGTTTGAAACATGTTTTCTAACTCCTTTTTAGACGTTTTAAACACGTTTTCAAACTTCTTCTTAGACGTTTTAAAAACGTGTTCTAACTCCTTCTTTGACGTTTTAAATATGTCTTCTGACTTTCTTTGACAGCCATGGTATTAAGAACTGATATAATTTTACGGATTGTTTGAGGGAGCTGTTTCCAAAACAGAGAGAAGAGAGGAAGGGAGATAGAAAGAGAGTGAACGAGAGAGAGAGAGAGAGAGAGAGAGAGAGAGAGAGAGAGAGTGAACGAGAGAGAGAGAGAGTGGGTAGTCAGCATGGCTGAGTGTGGCGGTGTCATTAGTCAAGATGAGGGAGCGGGAGATGATGAAGCAGATCTGTGAAGTGGAGTAATGATGCTGCTAGCTAGCTGAAAGTTACTTGTTTATGATGAAGGTATCATCAGTTCACAGAACACACACACACATGACTCTCAGTACCCCAATTAAAAAGAGTCTAGGCACTTTCTATATTATATATATATATATATATATATATATATATATATATATATATATATATATATATATATATATATATATATATATATATATATATATATATATAAATGCATTTATATATATATAATATATATATAAATGCATTTTAAATTAAAATTCTTTATGCCCTTCGCCCTATTTCTCCCCCACTCCAAATGTGCTTTCAATCTCCATCTCAGAAGTAGAAGAGTAGAAGTAGACTAATAGAAGTAGACTAGACTGTTTCTTTCTTAAGAAACAGCAAGCGTTAATCTTCTGTTACTTGTAAATTAGGTCTAAAATATATAACAATCAGGGAACATTGGCATATTGTAGATGAGACTTATTTCAGCTCAAACTCTTCCTAATCATGTGCCTATCCAATCTATTCTTGAAACCAGGAAATCTTACCTAACCTAGTCCATCCTGACCTAACCCATCCCCAATCCTACCTAACCTATGAAACTATGCACTATCTTTGTAACTTAGAAGATCTAGACTGTTTTTGTACACTTCAGAATTAAGGGAAAAATCAAGTTCCTTTTTTGGTTGAATAAAAGTTGGTTGAGTGTTTCTAGCAATACTTAATGAGTATTAAGTCTTGCTAATACTAGAGGAAAGTCCAGCTCCCCTGTCCCACTCCCCCGTCCCACTCCCCCGTCCCACTCCCCCGTCCCACTCCCCCGTCCAATTCCCCGTCCCACTCCCCTCGTCCCACTCCCTGTCGCGCTCAACGGATCATTTGGGCTTTAAGCTAATAATAATACAATCGTGAATTATATAATGCACTTAAAATTTTCTAATGTGAGGACGAGTCTTGCTCTTTATCAATTATTTGTTCATTAATACAATTATAGCTTGAGATCACCAGGATAATTTTTAGTGACACATGAAATAATCTGTTACTAAATCATATTTTATAATGTCATTAATTGAAATAGGATTAACAGAAGTTAAAATTGTCTAAGCTGATAAAGTCCCTCCGCTTTCCTGTACTAAATCTTCTTAATGCTTTCAATTGTCACTAAATCTTAGATGTGGCTCTAAATGCAAGAGTTTGCTCTGCTACACTCTTCTCAGAGCCACTTTTCTGCACTCACAATCTCTTAACCTTATTGACTGTAGGGGGGAAGGGGGAGGGAAGAGGTACAGAAGGTGAAAAGCGGCGATAGTTAATGTGCAAAGCTTTATTTCCATTCAATTCCATTCCATTCATTTGGGTTGTAGGAGACTCGAACAGTGGAGCCCAGGCGTGTGAGACTGAAGGTCTATCGTAAGGCTCAACGATCTCACTATAACAGGAGCTGGAGCTTAGCGGAGATTTTGCAGACGATTAAATATATATTTAGTCCTGATATGACGTGGATGTGGCGTGCAGAGCCAGATGTCAGAGAAGAGGTGTCAGAGAAGAGGTGTCAGAGGAGAGGCGTCAGAGGAGAGGTGTCAGAGGAGCGGTGTCAGAGGAGAGGTGTCAGAAAAGAGGTGTCAGAAGAGAGATGTCAGAGAAGAGGTGTCAGAGGAGAGGTGTCAGAGGAGAGGTGTCAGAGAAGAGGTGTCAGAGGAGAGGTGCCAGAGGAGCGGTGTCAGAGGAGAGGTGTCAGAAAAGAGGTGTCAGAGGAGAGATGTCAGAGAAGAGGTGTCAGAGGAGAGGTGTCAGAGAAGAGGTGTCAGAGGAGAGGTGCCAGAAAAAAGGTGCCAGAGAAAAGGTGTCAGAGGAGAGGTGTCAGAGGAGAGGTGTCAGAGGAGAGGTGTCAGAGAAGAGGTGTCAGAGGAGAGGTGCCAGAGAAAAGGTGCCAGAGAAAAGGTGTCAGAGGAGAGGTGTCAGAGGAGAGGTGTCAGAGGAGAAGTGTCAGAGGAGAGGTGCCAGAGAAAAGGTGTCAGCGGAGAGATGTCACAGGAGAGGTGTTAGAGAATATAGGATGAAAACACCCGTGTTTTATTTTAACTGTAGTATTAAAACGAAAAGGCATTAAAACAGATTAAAAAGTGTTTGAGAATACCTTAAGAGACTGATTAATATTTTTATGGTACGCACTCAATTCTTGACGATCTCTTGTAGTACTTACATAGAGAGGCTTGTCCAATTACAAAATAAATGATAAAAAACATATCAAACAATAATATCATTATTAAAAGCGACAAGCATATATTATATGTTTTGGCTTTGGTTACGCCTCATAAGACTCGTGTTATGATTGAAAGAAAACTATTGTCTCCTTACTAAGTGATTTGCAGGGCACTTAACAGCACTCTGGTGGTATAGGGACATGTTCCATGTTCCAAGATACTAACAGATTATAGCAACAGAAATTCACCTAAATGATACAGCTATGCACATGCAACATTCAAATAATTGCACACAATTAACAAATAATCTGATCTCATTGCCCCTCTATACCTATTGAGGCCTACTTAGGAGTTTCATATGATTTACTGAATTTTTCATATTTTTTCCTATTCAGATTGAAATCTAAATTTGTAAACTGTGTTTCTACGTGTATTTCACATATATGTTTTCTAGATTTCATTTAATGCATATATTGGCTCGTCATGTTAAGTGATGTTAAGTAATGCAATCTCCTGTTGCTCTTTTTACTTTTCCTCACTTAGTGGACCCACTGTGATCCACTGTGTACTGATAGGGAATTATCTTGAGGTTATCTTGAGATGATTTTGGGGCTGTGTCCCCGCGGCCCGGTCCTCGACCAGGCCTCCACCCCCAGGAAGCAGCCCGTGACAGCTGACTAACACCCAGATACCTATTTACTGCTAGGTAACAGGGGCATCAGAGTGAAATAAACTCTGCCCATTGTTTCTCTCCGGCGCCCGGGATCGAACCCGGGACCACAGGATCAGGCGTCCCCAGTGTTCTGTCCGCTCAGCCACCGGCTCCTGTAACTCTGTGCACTGCTCCTGTAACACTTTGTACACTCCTCCGGGTACACAAAGTGATGAACATAACAGATATAGTCAGTGGTGTAGCTACTGTGTGTGTAGGGGGACATGTACTCTTCGTTTCAGCCAACCCATCACAACAGCAAATTAAGGGAACCACAATAGTGTAATCAAGTGGTGTGATATTTCATATGCATTTTCTGCACACACACACACACACACATATACACTCCCACACACACACACACACACACACACACATACACACACACACACACACACACACACACACACACACACACACACACACACACACACACACACATACACTCCCACACACACACACACACACACACACACATACACACACACACACACACACACACACACACACACACACACACACACACACACACACACACACCCACACACACACACACATATACACTCCCACGCAAAATACAGAGTCCAAAAAAAGTCACGCTTGGCTTGGCAACGTGGCTTTTGCTTGGCCAAACTAGTGTTAAAGCCGCTAACATTTTATAATAAAAGGCTTCTCGAAAATAAATGTAAAAGGGCAACCTACCTCTCTAGCTAACTCTCAGAAAGTTTGAAGGCTACATATATGTTTACTGTCTGTGGTTGAGTTTTGCTTAATTTTCGGTATTTGGAAATATTAACATGATACTGAATGAACAAGATCTTTATAAAACGTTAAGATCTTTTACTTCCCGAATCCATTCAATAAAACATCAAATTTAATCAAACTGCTTAAAATTTATAAACCTGTATTCTCCTGAGTACATGTGTGAGAGATGAATATAATAATTTACAATTGTCAAAATATTATGAGGGACTGGCTCCAAATCTGCACACGGAAATAACTCCACACAAGACCAGGAGACATGGCAGGAAGTGCAAAATAGCCCCGTTGAAAAGCAGAGGGCTATTTAGGTAAGTTGATATATATAGGTAAGATGAGAGACAACTCTATCAACATAAAGAGCCCAGGACTTTATAACAGACTCCCACCAAAGATAAGTAACATAACTAGCCAACCTCTCACGGTGCTCAAAAGCTGCATCTAACAGCCTGGTTGACCAGACTACCAACCAGGAGGCGTGCTCAGCGATCGGGTTGCACGGACGTTGATCCTTGCAATCAATACAAAATAACCTCCTCTCATGCAGACAAAGGAAGCACCTTAGTACTGAGTAACTAAGCTGGTTCATTCAAAATAAGCTCTCGCCTACTCTAACATCTAATAAGGGTAGTTAAGATCCTCTTGCTTCCCCATTATCATTCCTCACGATATCATATATCCCTCACAGCAAGGATATATGATATCGTGTCTACGACGATATCGACGAGACGTCCCCCTCAAGTCTTCCTCACTATCTCCAATGTAACGAAGGGGCATAATGCAAGGTACTGAAAGTCAAAATATGTTTTTTTTTTAATTAGGCTCCATGACCCTAACAGGTGTTCAGCTCGAGAGAGCCCAGGCTCGAACTACAGCTCACCAAAAGACCCCCGTGACATTTTATAAACGAAATGCTGCAAATGTTTCAATATCTTAATTAAACTCTCCAACGGACGTGTTGTGCTGGAAAAAAAATTTAATGTTAATTAACTTACAAGTTGAAAATCATATGAAAGTCCTGTGAACTGTGAAATAGAAAATATTTTTATTAAATGGTCAAAACAAACAATACTGGAACGTGAAAGCGAGTGAGAGTAGGCTACGCAACCCCTTTCGTGGGGACGCAACCCCTTTTCGTGGGGACGCAACCCCTTTCGTGGGGACGCAACCCCTTGGTAGGAACGCACATCTCTTTGTTGGGACGCAATGTCAGGTGTTTCGTAATTATTGTGATGGTTAGTCAATGTACTCGTCTCCAGTTAGTCCTGCACGACTTAAGCAGACTGTCTTCGTGAATGTCTGCTGGTGTGTTGAGGCCAGAGGGCTCTCTCTCTCTCTCTCTCTCTCTCTCTCTCTCTCTCTCTCTCTCTCTCTCTCTCTCTCTCTCTCTCTCTCTCTCTCTCTTGCTGTTCAGGTCCTGTTGTTGTGTGGGTCCTGTTGCAGTGTGGATCCTGTTGCTGTGAGGGTTCTGTTACTGTGTACACACGTGGGGGTTAATTTATGTAATAGCTGTAACCATTCTCTATAGTTATGACCATTACAAAGCCCCCAAAAAGTGACTTTAATTCTGGTTTGCTTATCTAGTGTATATTACCATTTCCCGTGTGGAATATAGGTAGTGTATTAGTTTTGTGTTTATCAGGTGATCCATTACGACCTGTAGTGAGCCATTTATTTCATGTGATGAACAAATCATGATTGTCTTAATTCTGATGAGTATTGTAAAGTAATTCCATTATGTAAACACAACTATTTGAAAGTTTAATTGATATTACATAATATGTATTTTGTGGAATATGAATAGTAAATAAAATCATTAGTAGTATTTTAAGTAAATTTCATCACCTCGAATATTTTTTTAACTCTTTACTAATTAACTCACATGTGAGTTAATTAGGGAAGGGTAATCACCACCCTCACATACACATATGTGAGGGTGGTGAGACGAGCAAAGGTCTCCACAAAGATGCTTGTATGTTGATGAGACGTACAAAGGTCTCCACAAAGATGCTTGTATGTTGATGAGACGTGCAAAGGTCTCCACAAAGATGCTTGTATGTTGATGAGACGAGCAAAGGTCTCCACAAAGATGCTTGTATGTTGATGAGACGTGCAAAGGTCTCCACAAAGATGCTTGTATGTTGATGAGACGTGCAAAGGTCTCCACAAAGATGCTTGTATGTTGATGAGACGTGCAAAGGTCTCCACAAAGATGCTTGTATGTTGATGAGACGAGCAAAGGTCTCCACAAAGATGCTTGTATGTTGATGATACGTGCAAAGGTCTCCACAAAGATACTTGTATGTTGATGAGACGTGCAAAGGTTTCCACAAAGATACTTGTATGTTGATGAGACGAGCAAAGGTCTCCACAAAGATGCTTGTATGTTGATGAGACGTGCAAAGGTCTCCACAAAGATGCTTGTATGTTGATGATACGTGCAAAGGTCTCCACAAAGATACTTGTATGTTGATGAGACGTGCAAAGGTTTCCACAAAGATACTTGTATGTTGATGAGACGAGCAAAGGTCTCCACAAAGATGCTTGTATGTTGATGAGACGTGCAAAGGTCTCCACAAAGATGCTTGTATGTTGATGATACGTGCAAAGGTCTCCACAAAGATGCTTGTATGTTGATGAGACGAGCAAAGGTCTCCACAAAGAAGCTTGTATGTTGATGAGACGAGCAAAGGTCTCCACAAAGATGCTTGTATGTTTGTATATTTCTCAGGTTTGTTTTTATTTCATGTCTCTGCGAGTCACCTTGTGTTTATTATTAATTCAGAAAATATTTCTGACCAAGTGGAAGTGCTTTGGCAATACCAATAGGTGTCTGTTCTGCCCATCCTCCCAAAGTCTCTACATCCTTCCTGTAGAGCAGGTGGGCTGGACAGTAGAGCGACCGTCTCGCTTTATGCAGGTCGGCGTTCAATCCCCCCAAGTTCCAACCCAAATCCTTATTCTTATACCTTCCCAGTGCTATATAGTCGCAATGGCTGGGTGCTTTCCTGTGATAATTCCGTCTCTCTCTCCTTGTAGCACCAACCACCTCCCCAATCACCACTGCAATCAGGTTAGCATTTACCATTCAGTCCTTCACCATACCCCACTACACATCACCATACACACCATACAGTACGTCTCTCCACATCATCTCACATCTCTCACTATCTAAAACCCCCACAGTATTTCATTACACTTTTCACAACATCCCCAAACGCTTCACACCATACCCTTCACTCTCTTACAATAGCCAATTCACTCGTAACCATCTCCACTCCTCTGCACCATTCCCTCCACCATCCAATATACCCTTGTCACCAATCCCCTCGTCACCATCTAGTAAGTTTCATCGCCAATTTCCACTCCCTCTTGCCATCCTCTC